TTGATCACCATTCTTACGAGTTTCTGTATATACATAATCAACTTCTACAACTCGATCACCTTGTCGAATCACAGTTTCATCCACACGTACATCAATATCGTTATTCATTTGGAATTAAATTGTTAAATATAGGCTAGTATTTATTTGAGCAATAGAACTATCTGAATAAATGATAATTAAAATACGAATTAGTAATAATGTTCGAGAAATAAAAAAATCCTATTCAGGTGTGGGTGGGTGTGAGTGAAGATGTACGAGTACATACGGATGTGCCAAAGGTGGACACCCACATCTACCCTTCCCTACACTAAATTTGAGGGATTTGAGATGACTTTAGATATTATTATATTTGCGAGTTTAAATACCAATGATGATGCAAGTTCAGATTTGAAAAACCTTTGCTAATTTTCTCTTTCGATATCCATTTTCTGAGCAAACAGAAACTAGATTTTTCTACTCTTACCTCAACATACACATTCACACCTCCAAAAAATATCTACCATCAGTACTAAGATATACATCTGCTTTTAGTATCAGGGTTGTGTGGATATATGTTCAAGATTTGGCATTGACACCGATGATCTGACTAAGCGTCTATAACTACGATCTAAAAGCATAGCTTTTTGAGGATTTGTGAAAGACCATCATAGTTCGAAAAAAGACGGTGTATTATTTTTCTTTACAAATGAATTTCTTTCTTACCTTTCAACAACAAGCAAAATATATGACTGAAATTATATGTTGTACTTTTACGCGTTCCTCAGAAAGATAAGCGACGACCGTCTAGGTTTTCGTTTAGTCTCCCTTCAGATGCTTTTATCTGCACATTACTTTACTGTTTCAGACTGATAAGAAAAAAAGTAACAACTTCAGTTGGCATAAGGAGTTGTGACTATCACAAGTCTAGAAAGAAACTGCATTATTTTCTTCTTTAAAATATTAAAGTTAATATAAAAAAAAACTTGGGTGGGTGTGCGTGAAGGAGCGGGTTGGAATTTATGTGGCTTCTTTCTTTATGTTAAGAGCTAGTGTTATGATCCGATCATAATACTGTGCTGGATGTATTAGATTGTAAAATCTTGGGTGTGAGTGCGTGGATCTGAATGTAGGTATTCTATTTCTTTCACCCGCATTTACACCCACATTTTAAATAACTTTTAATTATTCTCTTTCTCATAGAGAAGAGTCCAGTAGACATGAGTTGTTTGCTTGCTTGTGTGCCTGCAGGGTCAAAAAAACATTGAAAACCAATTTTGTGGAAAAGACATTTCTAGAGGTATTTCGATGCGGGGACTTCGAATCTAATGTTATTTTTTTAAAATTCTTTAAAAAAAGCATTTTTTAGACAAAGAACCGTTTTTTTACGAGAAAAGTTTTTTTCATAAAAATTGACAAAACGGTTTTTAACGTTGGGAAATAAGAATCACACGTTATTTTTTTTAGATTTTTTTCACAGAGGGCCTTTTTTACAAAAAAAAAGTTTGTTTTAAAAAGTTGGCTAGAGAGTTTTGGGATTCGTGGATCTTGAATATAGTGTTAGTTTTCTGAAATTGTATAAGCAAAATGGTCAGTAGCATTGTAGAGCACGATTTCTACGAAAAAGAGCTGATGGAGTCCCTAGACGAACGTTACTTTAATATTGAACTAATAGGTTATACACTATTGTACTTATTGATGCTGCTGCTATAGAATTTGAATCGACGGACGACTGTGGAAAAAATCAAATATCCATTGAGCGATGTACAGTATAAATATATAGAACATATATGATTTGTATCTTTTGGTACTAGAACTTTACACACACACAGTGCTTTTGTTACTCATTGAAGTGACAGATAGCACTTCACAATAACTATATACTTGTTGAAAATGTCATAATTCACGATCCATAGTCTTACTTACCATTTGTTAAATATATTTGAAAGTAATGAATTGAGATGCAACTATTTCATTATATTTCTTTTCGTTTTTTTTGCAGTGAAGAAAAATCAGTTTTATATTTCATTTTCTGAATTATGGAAAAATGCTACAGATTAAATCTGTCATAGAAACTTCACATATTGTGCTTGATTGCAGAAAATATTGAAATGTCAGAAAGATAAAAATCAGAGAAATGTCAGAGCATTATTTTTTATTTCCGCCACATAATTCAGTTTGGTAATCAAATATGATATAGAAGAAGTCATGAGACATTTCTTTTTCTTTGGTCTCTTTATCAACTGAGTAAGATACGAATAAGACCGAAAGAATAAATTCACATTATCTTTTAAGACATTTTGTACGAATGAGATTCATACGAAAAACATTAACAACAATAATTTAGAGCATTAAAAGCATTTTTAGTTTGCGTAATCGACTTTTCATTAATTTTTCTTGCTAAAAATGAGTGCCGAGTTCGTCAAAAATCAAGGTATTTATAAAGCATTAGTATTTAGTAGAAATTACGGAAAATTCGTATGTGTCTAGAGAATCAAGAAGTGACACACTTAGTTGATACAAATGTTTTCGTATAATCTTTGAACGGCTTTGAAAACCTACAAAGTGAGCATAACAAAGAGGCGATGAAATCTATCGTCCTCTGCATAAGCTTGACCGTTATCAATAAGTGTTTCGTGTTAGATCAGAAACAACCACTTTTCTAGTAAGGATAACAGATTTAAAAACTAGAGTCGTTGTGTGACAAACATACCAGCTCAATTAGATAAAAAATTAGCTTTCCTTTCTTAGGAAATTATGAAAAATAGTTTTACATACTTTTACTCCTTAATTTATCAATTTTTTAATTCTTATTAACTGAAAATACAAACTATACACTGCCAAGCTATACCACAAACAATTCCAGACGCTCGTACGCGATCTAACCTCTGCTACAGGTGAAATCTTTCTTCGTTAAATCTTCGTTTTTATTTAATTATCAACCTCCGTACAATAGAACGAATGTTCGAAAAGAGGACTTTCATCATTCCGATAAAGAAGGTTAGTGCTTCTCACAAAGACACAGATGAGCAGTATTAAAATGGCGATCAGGAGCAGGGTCAGGATCAGGACTATCATTAACTTCGCCACGCTGAGTATTAAAATGACGATCAGGAGCAGGGTCAGGATCAGGATTACGATCAGGACTATCATTAACTTCGCCACGCTGAGTATTAAAATGACGATCAGGAGCAGGGTCAGGATCAGGATTACGATCAGGATTATCATTAACTTTGCCACGCTGAGTATTAAAATGACGATCAGCATCGGCAACATTACAGGTCGCACCATCACGTTTCGTAAAAAGCTGTAAGCCCTCATAATTCCAACGATCTTCATCCACCTTTTTCCAATTTTCCCAGTTGCAGACTAAATTCCACTGGTCTTGATTACCACTGAAATGCCAATCACGACACTTGTGACACTTGGCACAAGGACGACCTTTACAACGAAGTTGCCCATACGCGCCAGGTGCAGCAAATTCTTCAGCTTCTAAATAAGTACTACAGGCAGTCACAAAATCATATAGGAAACAGATGATGATTTTATATGAAGTCTGTTCAGAGGACCGTGGTAAACTCGAAGTTATCTCAATAGTGGGCCATGAGCCCAGTCGATGGGAAAACTATTCTCGTTTACAAAGAAATACTTTTAAGAAAGTTTGAAGAATGTAGATAACTGGAGTCATCCAGAAGTCATTATTAAAGAACTTTCCACATTTTCACGATTTAACATGCCATAGATTTGAGAATTTTGCGAATTTAGAGTCCTCGAGACATACGAATTTTCTAAAATTGTCCAAAGAGTTCCTGCTGTACAACAATGGAAGCTTTTGGGATAACTAATTTCTGAAATTTTTAGCATTATGGAATTTAAGATATTCAGAAATTTGAGAATCATCAGCATTTTTAGGGTGGGTGAAGGTGCCATTGTGCATGTGAGATAAGAACAAGGCTCATACCCATACCTATCGTCAAGCTATAAAATAAAAAGAACTTGTAGAAACAATTTCTTTTTCTGCTTCTACTTGCGTAGTTTTACTGGTTTTCTGGCGCACAACCTAGTTTAGCATGGAGAATCCGAATTCGAGATCGATATTAAATTTATTAATCGGTTAATTATATAGACCTTAATAATTAGTTAATCAATGAAACCGATTTTCTATAACATTAGAAAAGGGATATACGAGGATAGAGAATTCGAACTGCATGTCAAATTAAATTAATTAATTAACTCATTACGGCTAATTAACGAATTGTCTATAAAAACTTTTTGACCTCAGATCGAAACGAAGAACGGGAAGTTAACGTCAATTCTGATTAAGTAGTTTATTGTTATTTATCAGTTATCTATAAAAACGTACCAAACATTTCGATGAAACATCTTTAGAAATAACGTAAAAGATCAAAAAGAAATTATTGCCACATATGTTGCCAAAAACCTAGCTTTGCAGTGATTTCTTGATCTCGGACGGTTCCGATTTTAAAGGACACCTAAAAAGGACCTTGATACACCTTCATATAAGAAAAAAATCTACAAACAAAGTTTTTGCCAGGAAAAGATTAGATGTTCCCTTAAAGTAAATTCAAGGTCATATGGGTAAAATCGGAGAGTGGGTGTGGGTGTGGGTAATGATGGGTGAGTGTGTGGGCGTGAGGTGGGTAGATGTGAATTTAGATCTAGATGTGACAATATCTTTTCTATTTCACTTGAACACTCACACCCTAGGCTATTTAATGAATATTGCCAGCGCATATGAAGTTCTGCTAACTCTTTTGATAACGCATTTGAACACAAATAGACCAGTTATAGGTTAACTTATTGAACTATTTCTTTAATTTATCGATTTTCGCAGTAAATGATTGAGGTTTATGTCGAGAACTGTTGCATGAGTATAATCGTTTGCAACTTTGTTGTCAAACTAAGACAGACAATGACTGTAATTCAGAAATAGAACCAAAATAAATTATTTTGTTAGTTGTTGATCTGGTGTATCTTAGCTTGATGTAACTTTATCATCAACG